CCCCCCCCCCAGCAAGCTGGGTACTAATTTTACCAACCTCGGAAGGATAGAAGGCTGAATTAAACTTGAGCCGCTACCTGGGATTGAATCCCAGGTCGTGAGCAGTTTTTGGCTGCAGTAGAGCAGTTTAAGCACTGTGCCACAAGGCTCTTCACGACACTTCATGCATTATTAGCCTTTGGATCATGCCCTGCAGTTACAGCCTAAAAGCTAGAGAAGTAAAGGGGAAATGGTGAAACTTAATAGAGTTAACTGACCATGTCCCCTTCTGTTACAAAGATAAAGAAAGCAGATTTATAGTTGCATAACTGGCATAAACTGTCCATCTGTTTAGTTCTACTTCTACATGTACTGCAAAATGTCTGAAGGATGCTTTATGATGAACACAAGATGAGGTTTACAGACTAAAGTAAGCTAAACAAGCTGATGTTGTTTGCTGCTTAATAGTGAAAGATCTCCATGGTTTAGCAAAAGGGATACCTCGATACCTGGTGGAACGCCTACTCCCACCAACATCTACCCATGTCACTCGTGCGAGCCAGGAGGTGAGGCTGAGGAGCCTAATGCCGAGGGAGGCCCGGAAGGAAAAGAAAAGAAATCGGGCCTTCTCGGCGGTGGCTCCTCGCCTCTGGAACAACCTGAGATTTGTGTGGCTCCCTCACTGGGTATCTTTACAAATCAACTAAAAACATGGATGCTTCGGCAGGCCTTACCTTCAGTCAATCCCTGATGCCCTTCTCTCTCCCTTTGTTTGCTCCCAGTTTTTGAAATATCTATCTTTATGTAAAATTGTTTTATATATATTTATTGTCCTATTTTTATGCTGTTAGCCGCCCAGAGTGGTCTTAACCGACCAGATAGGCGGGATATAAGTAAAATAAAATAAAATAAATAAATAAATAAAAGCAGTAATCAAAGTGTCTAATTTTGGGTTAGAAAAGGGAGTGTCGTCTTATACATTGGGTCATTTTATAAACAGAAAAATGCAGTAATTAAAAACTGTTGCGTTGTCATTGCAAGAGCAGAGAGCAGTTGGCAATTTGTGACAGAAGGCATCTGGTCTAGGTTAGTTTGTCTCTCTGGGCTGCATCCAAGATAGCTGGTCTCCAGAAAAAGAAAGAAAAACCCCCCACACAGAGTGAAAGACAGAGCTGGCACTACCCCTGGGCAGAGGGAGGCACGTGCCTCCAGTGGTTGATGCTGTGAAGCAGCACAAAGGTTTTGGAGAAGAAATTAGCATTGGCTTTTTCTTGCTGCCTTCAGAAGCAGTTTTAAATCATTACCAGTTTTGAAAGAGTCTACACAGTTCTGCCAGCTTTTAAAAATAGAATGGGAGAGTAACTATCTTGTTCTTCATCTCAGCCAGCAAACTGTCCTGGCCCTTCCCTTTGAAAGAGTACGCAAAACAACAGTGCTAGGATATGTGATATAAGAACAGGTTACTTACCTGTAAATATAGTTCTTTGAGTGGTCCTCTGTGAAGCCACACATATGGGATTTTGTAGCACATGTGTGGAACTTCAGAACATTCTATAGATAAAAATAATAGACCGTTAGTCTTCTCCCCTCCCAATGAGCATGCACTGGCACGCAATACCCAGCCCTCTCAATTCTGCATGACTGGTGCCATCTCATGTTTAAGAAGGAAGGATGGCGTGACAGGCAGTGGGAAGGAGGGTGGGTCATGTGACTTCACGGAGGACCACCTGAAGAACCACGTTTACAGGTAAGTAACCCGTTCTTCTTCGTGGCCTCCGTAAATCACATATATGGGTGAGCAGCAAGCTGCCTTACTGCCAGGCAGGATACCACATCATAGAAGCTGTGAGCATAGCTCTTCTGAAAGCTGCAGACACTTAATTGTGAATATCCAGTCTGTAGTTACACACAAAGTTTGAAGGCTGAGACCATGTTGCAGCTCTGCACACTTCTTGGAGAGGAATGCCTTGCAAAAAGGCAGTTGACGTAGAGACAGCTCTTGTTGAACTGCAGTAATGGAATCTTTGCCAGTTGGTAAGCTAGGATTACTGTAAAAACAACCCAGTGAGAAAAGCACTGAGAAGAGACAGGATAATCCTTTGAAGAGGTATCATAACAAACAAGCTCCGAGAAGAATGGAATGAAGCAGTTTGGGAAATATAAAAGGCCAATGCCCTTTAAATGTCCAGCAAGCGGAGATCCTTCTGCAGGGTGGAAGAAGGATTGGGAAAGAACGTAGGAAAGACTATCAGTTGAAATAAATGAAAGTGAGACCACTGTTGGGAGTAAAGAGACATCAGGATGTCTTGTCTTTGAAAAACTGTAGGTATGGAGGGTCGTGCTAGAGGGCACTGTGATGTCCACCCTCGTGCCCCTTTGCTTGACCGTTACGTCTCAGAGCACACAAAGGCAAACAATCCAAACAATCCCTCTTTTCACTGCTGCCACCAAGTGATCTCTAAATCCCTTCTCTATTTCGGTAGTATCCTCTAGGCTACCAGATTGAGGCGGTCTAAGTCTTCCCTTGTTCTGAGCTATCAGGCTTACACACTTTGGGAGCCTGAAGTGCCCCAGTGGCATCTGAAGGAGAGGAGCAAACCTGCCTTGGACACCAGGGGGTTATCATGATGGCATCTGCATTCTCCTGCCTGGTTTTCGTGACTGAATCAAGGGGAGAGGGGGAAATATGTAAAGAAGACAACGACCCTAATGAATCCCTGGAAGTGGAGATCAATCCCCATTCGCAAACAAAAGACCTCACATTTTTTGTTCTTGTCGAGGTAGATAGGTCTACTTGAGGGAGTCCCCACATGTTCCGTAGAGAAAAGAACACCTGGTGATTCAACTCCCACTGGTGGGTTTGAAAACCCTTCCTGCTGATTTGATCTGCAGCTTCCTTGCCCTGACCTGCCAGGTGGATGGCGATCAGAAAGACGTGATGCTCCATGCACCATTCCCAGAAGTCCACAGCCAGTAGGAGAGATAATGAATGGGTACCTCCCTGTTTGCTTATGTAATACATGGCAGTTGTATTGTCCATGACTACCTATACAACTCTGCACGAAAGAAGCAGTAAGAATGCCTTGAAAACTGCTAGCAATTCCAGTTTATGTGGAGCAGAGATTCCCAGGAGTCTCAGGTATTGTAGATTTGATATATAAGGCACAAACCACCCCATCCCAGGAGATTTGCGTCCGAGACCATTTGAATCAAAGAAGATAGGGGCACGAATGGCCTGTCCACTGACATGTTTAGAGGATTAATCCACCAACACAGTTATGTACTGAGCTTGAGAGTCACCTGAAGGACCTGGGAAGGATGATCATGTAGAGTATCAGGCTGTGGCATTGGCAGCGGAAACATATCTCCCCCCCATATACAACCCCCCCTGCATGCACCCACCCACCCACGCATGCATGTCATCGCTTTCCTCCCAAGAAGGCGTCCTTTAATTTCGTGGCTGCTGTCTCCATCTGCAGTGACCATCGAGCCCAAGAAAGTAAAATCTGTCACTGCCTCCATATCTGCCCCTTCTATTTGCCAGGAGGTGATGGGACCAGTGGCCTTGATCTTAGTCTTTTTGATGTTGAGGTTCAGACCGTTTTTTTGCACTCTCCTCTTTCACTCTCATTAAGAGGTTCTTTAATTCCTCCTCACTTTCTGCCATCAGAGTGGTATCATCTGCATATCTGAGGTAGTTGATATTTCTTCCAGCAATCTTAATTCCGGTTTGGGATTCATCCAGTCCAGACTTTCGCATGATGTATTCTGCATATAAGTTAAATAAGCAGGGGGACAATATACAGCCTTGTCGTATTCCTTTCCCAATTTTGAACCAATCAGTTATTCCATACCCAGTTCTGTTGCTTCCAGTCTCACGTATAGGTTTCTCAGGAGGTACATAAGGTGGTCAGGCACTCCCATTTCTTTAAGGACTTGCCATAGTTTGCTGTGGTCCACACAGTTGAAGGCTTTTGCGTAGTCAATGAAGCAGATGTTTTTCTGGAACTCTTTGGCTTTTCTCCATAATCCAGTGCATGTTAGCAATTTGGTCTCTAGTTCCTCTACCCCTTTGAAATCCGGCTTATACTTCTGGGAGTTCTTGGTCCATATACTGCTGAAGTTTGCCTTGGAGGATTTTGAGCATAACCTTGCTAGCATGTGAAATGAGTGCAATTGTACAGTACAGTGGGGTCTCTACTTAAGAACGTCTCTACTTAAGAACAATCCAACTTAAGAACAGCTCCATTTGCTAAATTTTGATTCTACTTGAGAACAGAAATCCAAGATAAGAACAGGAAAAAAAACCTTTCCTGTTCTTTTTTTAACCTTAGGTCATCTTAGGTTAAAAAAAAAATTCTCCCCCTAGTGGTAGAGTACGTATTAACCAGTGTTACACACCGCACTGATGGTACCTGTCTGTCATGGGTTTGGAGG